CGAACACTGTCTCCTTTCGTCTATCCGTCCCTGTCTGCGGATCCGCGTGTGTACATGTGTGTATACGCGTTGCGTATAGAATATAGGCGCAAAAGGGGGTCCCCTATGGGGGTATCGGAACCTCGTTACTCAGCGCACCATGCCTATAGCGATGGTCCAAGTCCAAGTCCAAGTAGACCTCCAAGTGGGACAATGACCGGCAGAGACCTTCTTTCAGATCCGTGGCGAGAGAGAATGGAAGGTGGCGGTGAACGAGGAGAGAGAAGGACGGAGCGAGGCAGCGCGTAGAGGAGAGAAAGGGGAGGGGCAATCGCGAACTCACTTCGCTAATTCACTTGCTCGTTGCTTTTCCGGTTTACATTTTGCTACCAGCCGGAGAGTACGTCGGCCTTTGAACGAAAGACGACTTTAGATTTTCGCCCAATTTTCGTATCGATTTCCAAACAAACCTCGCCTCCCGATCGAAGAATCGTTCGATAACAGCTGTCTTTGTCTCATCTCGATTCGAATTTTTATCGCACCGATTTTCGAAATAATACCCGAGCTCGGATATATCATCTCGAAGGTGATTACGAAAATTTTAATAAGGAGATAAGGGGGAGGAGAGGAGTTGAGATCGGTGGAGTAAGAGAGCAGTTTCTCGAGAAAAAGCTGGAAACGCAACATGTCCCGGTTCAAAGCCTTCGAAGGGTCATCGACCCCCCGCAGACTCGGCAAACCGTCGACCTTCTTACAAACGTCCAGACCTTTCTTAACCATCGGGAACACCGAATGAATATTTGATAGGTCCGCGGCCGTCCGGGCCTCCGACCTTCGAAATTCGGCAGCTTTTACCGTAATTGGTTCCCCGATTAAAGCCATCGTCTCTCGGATCTCTCGGATCTTTGACGGCTCGACTTTGACGCGATAGAGAAACTTTTTCCAAAGAATGATCCGAAGGGAGGAAAAGAAAGGAAAAGGAACGAAGAGAGAAAGAAATTTTCTTGCGCGAGTGGAGAGGAGAGAGAAGGAAAGAAGGATAAAAATTTATAAGAAGATTGAAAAAAACACTCGAGCGGTGAGTCAACGATATTTCATTCTAGACGAATTTCAACCCGTTATTCCTGGAAATCCGCGTGTGTGCGTCTACGCGTGTACACGGAATCGGCGTGATAAACACACACACACATATATATATATACATATAAATATATATATACATATATATATATATATATACGCCCGTATGGCCCGTTATTCTCTAAAGTAACAGTTACGAGCGTAGTACGAGAGTCCAAGCATCGCGCTGTGCGTGGAATAGGTTCGATTCGAATGGATTCCATGGAAACGGCATTTCCGGTTCACATTCGGTTTTCTATTCGTGGCCGCTATTACGCGTCTGATTAGAAACTTGCCAACCATCGAGACAACATTGCGCTTCCGCCATTCATTTTACGAGGACAAAGGATCGAGAACCTTCGGTTTCCCTTTCAACCGCGATTCAAAAGGTACGACCCGACGTCGTAACACACGCGAATATCACGCCTATTTCGATATTTAATATCAATTTTCGAGAAGAAAATAAGAGAATCGAAGAGAAGGGTAAAGAAGAGTAGACCTCTCTTTCGTCGAATTCATCAACTTAAGAAAAATTATTGGGGGAAAAAAAATTAACGAACGTATATACAATTATCCTCGATTCCTTCGTCTCTTAGACGCGTAAAAGAGATGAGCTATTATTCCGAAATCGGCCGATCTGTATCTGATTCCTCGCAAGAAGCGGTCGAACCGAAGGAAATTAATATATCTGGTACAGTCGTTCCTCCGAGGAGGGAAAAGATCGACGACCCGGGGAACGTATCTGGGTTAGTAGTCGTCGGCGATTCACGCGGAAACTTCTTTCGCTAGGAGGGCACTGCGTGGAAATTCGCAAGGTGGCTTCTCCCTCCCTCCTTCCCTCTCCCTCTCTCTCTCTATTTCTCTCTCTTTCCTTCCCTCTCCCTCTCTCTCTCTCTCTCTCTCTCTCTACTCTCGTCTCCGCTCCTCGAAAAGTGAAATTTCGTGCGAGCCGTGGCCCCGCTGACGAAATTTCGTCGTCGCACGAATTCACCGGGTAAGGTCAATGGCCTCGCCCACATACCGGCACGAGTCACTCTCAGACCTCGCGTCGCGAAACTGTTCCGCCGAGATCGAGCCTCGATCAGCGACAAAACAATGCCGACTCTCCTCCGACTATCGGATCTTTTATTTTCACCCGTAAGAAGAAGAAGAAGAGAAAATCGACGAACGGCATCGTTACGGTTTAGAAAATGGTTGGATTCGTCGTGTTTGGACGAATATGATCGTCCTCGAATCCTGTTGTGAAAAAGCAAAAGGGTAAAATTTCGCACGCGGGAATAAAACGCAGGAATTATTTTATTCCTGTGTAAAAATAAAAGAAGGGGGAAGATGGAATCGCGACGATTCAGGACGGGCGCGAAACAGGGACAATGCGCGGCCAGGCCCGATAAAGCGCCATTACTGCCATAAATTTAATTCCGCCGGTACGAGGCATTTCCACAGAATTACGAATAAATCACAGCTGGCACGATATTCTATTAATTTCAGGAACAGTGCCAAGTGAATTATTGCCAGTCGATACACTGCAATGCCTCATCGTCGGGCCCGCTAAATATTTTCCCAGATTCATTGAGTACGTTGTAAAAGAAAATTTCCATACCATCCCCCCTCCCATAGATGGCTACGACCCGCTCCGATAAACTTATTCCTTTCTCCTTCTGAGACTCCTCTAGAGTCTCCTATCCGCTCGCGATCCACCTCCTTTAATCGATTCCACCGGTGTTTATTCCGCGATATCGTATGCGTTTCACTTATATATACGTTTTCGAGGATATGGAAAAGGTGAATGGGAACGAAGGGGAACGATGCTATTATCTCTCTCTCTCTTCCTCTCTCGAGAATCCTTGCGCGCGTGGCGGATTTCGTTCGCGTAACCTTGGAATCGAGACTTCGAGATTAGAATCCAAGAAGAAGAAGAAGAAGGTTCGAGGACTCTATTCTACCAGAGGTGTCGATAGTCGTCGAATCTATTCGCGATTACGAGAAAAAAGAAATGCCGTGTCACAAAGTGATGTTGAGGATTCGATCTCGAATCTGGCCCATAATCTGGGACCATATATATAAATACATATCTGATGGCTCCAAAAGTCACAGCGAGTAAAAATCGACGATTCGATTGGCGGAAGAGAACTTCGAGAGATGGGTCGATAATAAAAAGAAAATCTTGGATCGGGTCGATTTGGGCCGATTTACATTCATGCGGCTCGAACGTGATCAGCGTGTATGCAGCGAGCCGTGAATGGGGAGAAGAGGGTGGGAGAGCGTGTGGGTAAAGAGTGTGGCGCTGGGGTTAAATGCACGTCCCCGTGAAGGGGTTGGCAGAGGACAACGGACCGGTGGAGAGGCCGGTGCGAGAGGGACGCACCGTGGAAAAAGCACATGCTCAAAGGAGGTGTAAACAAGGACGGGAGAAAAACATCGAAGGATTTTTGTAGACGGGTGTCTGGCTCGTGAATTTACCAGACCAGAAGAAATTCTCCTTCGATCGACGATGATCATCATTTTTTTCCGAGCAACGCGATGATATACGAATTTCTTTTTTTTTTTTAATATCCAGCCTCTCCCTTTCTTCGGATTCGCCGCGAAAAATCGGGGGTTAATTTCACCATCCGGCACGATTCGTACAATTCAATTTAAATTCAAATATCGAGGTATTTTTTTTTTTCATCCTCCATTCAGCCCCGAGCCAAATCGATCGGTATTCGTTCGAAAAAATTTCCGACATTTCCCTCCGCAACATTATTTTCCGCGGAGGAAACAAGTTGCGCGAATGCCGTTTCCGTATTCTTAGATCATTCTCACAACATCGCCCGCCCTATCGATTTTTCGCGTTACGTAAACCTAGCGTCGGAATAAAGTTGCACTCTCCAGGAGAAGAAAATCCATTTCCAATTTTCCATGAGATCGAAATTTTAATAGCATTTCCCTATCGATTATGGATTTGCGCCGCGATCACGAACCTCGTGAACCATAACCCTTCCCTTCCCTCCCCATTCGTGTTCGCTAATCCAGGTCCAG